GTCACTCTAAAAATCTAATTCTGCAGTCACTTAATATTACGATCTTATGTGGTATTTCATTTTACTTGTAAATGAGAGGTCTTAAAGTTCGATTATCACTAAAGGCGAATTTGAACCACATTATGGCTAACCCATTGTGAGGTTTAGTCAATTTCCTTTCCATAATTAGTGTAAATCATATCGTTTGTTAAAAATAAAGAAAAAGTAAAACCTAAGTGTGCATTTCAATTTTTTTATAATTAGAAAGAAATATCCTCTTATGCAGTGGCTGCAGAAATGCCTTGTTAATTTCCAAATGTAAGTATTATTAATGGAGTGTACAAAAAGACATGTCTAGCAAAAAGACATGAAGTGTCGAAACTGGATCCCCTCCCGAGCCTGAGGACCGGAGTTTGCTGAGCAACTTATCTGAACTCTTGAAATTTAATTTAACAGCTACAAATAATAATTGCAGCCGTTGAAACAAATGAACATTTGAAAGATGTTTTAGGGGAGGTTTGACGACATCAGCATATTTAAATTCTTCTGTACATCTGGAAGATGTTTTAGGGGAGGTTTGACGTTAAATTCTGTACATCTGGAAGATGTTTTAGGGGAGGTTTGACGACATAGGGGAGGTTTGATGACATCAGCATATTTAAATTCTTCTGTACATTTGATGTATGACATTGTGCATGGTATAAAGCTCCTTCGCTGATGAACTGTGCATGGTATAAAAGTCCATAAATCAGTATTTATAAATATCGCGTATTTAAAAGTCAATAAATCCGGCTGGTTATCGTTGAATTGATGACAGAATTTTAGGGTTGTGAAAATCTGCTGATGTCATCAAACCTCCCCTAAAACATCTTTCAAATGTACAGAATAATTTAAATAGAAAACTTCATTTTAATCTTTGGCAAAGATGATTTTTAGATTAAAACCATAAGTAAGATCAAAATCTAATTTTAGTCCATTGATACATTAATAACCTCATTTATTAATTATATTTTGATTTTTTTATTATTTATCTTTTTCTTTCTAATTTTTAATGTATTAATTTTATTTCATTATAATTTTTATTTTCATTTCCATTTCATTCATCGTAATATATTTTGTTGTGAACATTTAGATAAACTAATTTTTGTTATACAATATATTTCGATGTATCTTCTTCATTTAGGTATATTAAATTCATTATAATACATTTCGATGCATACATTTAGGTACACATATTTCGGTACATACATTTCGATACATACATTTCGATACATACATTTAGGTACATTAATTCAATATAATACATTTTTGGTACTAACATTTCGGTGTATACATTTCGGTACACACATTTAGGTACATTAATTTAATATTAATACATTTCGTGACACACCCCGTCCCGAAGGAGGGCATGCTGGCCGTCACGTGAGAGTGACGTAACCATTTGCACAGTACGGAAGCTTTAATTATACAATTTATAAGTTGATACACCCGAAGGTGAGTCCTAATTTTGTCCAATCTGTCAGAACACCGTCGAATTCCTCGTAGTCACCACACCTTTGTGATTCCTGAACCTGGAGGGGCGCAAAACCAAAATTGAGTGGGTCAGTAAAACAATTCTTATTATGCCATGCCACATCATCTCAACAGTAATAAGGTATGAATGCATCAACATAATCATATCAGGTGCAAGAAAGTAATCAACCGTAGGCCCTCTAATAGCCCTATACGGTTGAACCTAGAGCTCAAAATCTATCATTATCACTCTACCGGAGTCACCTCTGTGACCCGTCCGGCCTTCTGCACACAAGTTACGCTCTAGTGCTTCTCATAAATCATCTGTGCACATAATCTAAGGTCACCCACCAGTCGGAATCTCACTAACACTCTCGCGACTGGTCTGTCGTACCCACTCCGCGTGGACTGTACGACTAGCATCTACTTGGATCCAAGGCGAGCGTGCGATGCGGTGAATACTATAAGCACTAAACCATGGTGCAGGATTTGAGCTCAATATATATCATCATCATCATAACAGTAATTAAATACTCATCTGTGCGTCCACCGCACCATTTCATACATATGCATCATAAATCAGTTCTTACCTGTGCGTCCACCGCACCAATTCATACATATGCATCATAAATCAATTCTTACCTGTGCGTCCACCGCACCAATTCATACATATGCATCATATATCAATTCTTACATGTGCGTCCACCGCACCAATTCATACATATGCATCATATATTAATTCATGCATGGCATGATTGATAAAGAGATAATGTTGAGATAGTAAAAATGAAGTTTTGAGAATATATATGTATATTTATATTTTACATTTCTGGGAAAGTATACAGGTTTTACGGAGAGGGGTTACAACGTTTTGAGAAATGTTTGGATTTGGAAAAGAATTGTTTTACTGACCCACTCAATTTTGGTTTTGCGCCCCTCCAGGTTCAGGAATCACAAAGGTGTGGTGACTACGAGGAATTCGACGGTGTTCTGACAGATTGGACAAAATTAGGACTCACCTTCGGGTGTATCAACTTATAAATTGTATAATTAAAGCTTCCGTACTGTGCAAATGGTTACGTCACTCTCACGTGACGGCCAGCATGCCCTCCTTCGGGACGGGGTGTGTCATTTCGGTGCATATATTTAGGTACATACATTTCGGTACTAACATTTAAATATATTAGTTCAATATAATATATTTCGGTATTAACATTTAGGTACATTAATTGAGCTTTCAAGTTTGAAGAATGTTAAATAAAATTAATAAATTAAAAAACTCTTTTTTTGGTCAAAAAATAAATTAAAATTTGTGTATTAATAAATTTAAATATTTAATGGGAGACATTAAATAAAATGCACATTAATTATTTTGAATTAAGGACACATTAGGGACTAAAATCAATATTCAATCTAACACCAGGTTTTTTTTTAAATTTTTATCTTCTTTAAGAATTAAAGTTCAAAAACCCCCTAATTTAAATATGCTGATGTCATCAAAACATCTTTCAAATTATGCGCACAAACCGAATTGCTGTAGCATGCCCTTCTTCACCCAAACAATCGAGCCGATATTAAATTACCAAAATGCCCACGCTCTATGTTTTTGCTATAAAATGCCTCGTCTCCAGGTCCAACTGAAACAAACTCTCACACTCCCGACTCCATCTCATCTCTCTCTCTCTCCCCCCTCTTTCTCTCTCTAGATGCACATATATATAATAGTTCTTCCTCATATTCTATAAAAAGGGATAGGGATCCAAAGCCCCGTTCACTACACGAGGTGTGAAGAAGTTGCTTCACTAAAAAACCCATCTCCCCCTCTCTTCTTTCCAGAAAAAAAATGAAGGCGTTTCTGCAGCAACTACTCAACAAGATATTCAGAAGCGTGTTGGATAATGACCTTGACCCATCCAACTTAGATTGGGCAACAGTTATTCTGTCGTATTGCTTGTCAACGGCAATTGGAATGGCTCTCGCACCCATCCAACTGCACTCCAAGCAGCTCCCTCTATCCTTTTGCTTTCTCGGTCTCGCAATCACACTCTCCTTCTCGAGCATCCTGGTTAGCAAGTTCATTCAGAACTCCAAATGCCCACGAATCATAGTTCATCTCTTCCATTATTTCGGTGTCTTATTTGGGGCGATCTCCTTCTTCATTTCCATCACAATCCCATTTCCCCTCTGGTTCAAGTGTACTGCCTCTGTCATCTACGCGGCCTCAGGCCTTGTAATACTATTTTGTCACCACTACTACAATTGATGAGATGTATCCAGCAAGAATTAAAATAATTCCAGAAAAGAAAAAGCATTCGAGAGTAGAGAATTGAATTGCAACGTTTGAATATTACTCATATGTATGTGTGTTCTAGAATTAAGACAGTTTGTATGATATGGGTAAATTAATCGTGTTGGAAAATACTAGTATCTAGATTTATTTTAGAGGTATTCATCAATTTACCCCATAAACTTGTAAGGATTGACCTATTTTTTCCCTCAACTTTAATTTTGGCCAGTTTCCCCCCTCAACTCTCATAATTAGTCAATTTCCCCCCTCAACTTTAATTTTGGCCAAATCCCCCCCTTAACTCTCACAATTAGTAAATTTGCACCTTAGTGTTTTTTTTTAAATTTAATTTTCCATCTGTTCTTTTGTTAAATAGCTATCCGCATGACTGTATTTAAAGGGCAAAAAAGTTATTTTCCTTACACCTTATATCTTCTTCCTTTTTTTTCAACTTTCTCTTCTTCTTCCTTGTCTCCATGATGAGCCCGTGACTACTGCTAATGCCTCCCTCCTCCGCTATTTGCATCCCAGTCCATTTGTTATGCTGCTTTTGCAGTTTGCATTTGCCCACACCCCGTCGCCTCCTCCCCCGGCCTCGTCTACCTCTGGTAAGGTGTAGGGAAACCTACTTAACGGAAAATGACAATAGGGTGCAAATTGAAAAAATGATAGCATGGTGCAAATTGACTTTTTTTGCCCTTCAAAGGCAGTCATGCGGATGCCTACTTAACAGAAGAATACATGAAAAATTTAAAAAAAAATTAAAGTAGGGTGCAAATTGACTAATTATGAGAGTTGAGAAAGGAAATTGGCCAAAATTAAAGTTGAGGGGGAAATTAGTCAATGGTCACAAGTTCAAGGGGTAAATTGATGAATACCTCTTTATTTTAAGAGTAGCTATTTGTACCATCACGTGTACCATTTTTTTAATAGAGGTAGGGTCCGTAAACTCATACAAATAAATGGTAAAAATAACATTTTTATTATTTTAATGTTTGGTATTTTGGACCTAACCCATTAGTACTGGAGTTTCATTTCCTTGCTTATTAAGCCAAGTGAAAATAAATAAATTGTAAGAATAACATTTTTGTTATTTTAATGTTGGGTATTTTGGGCCTAACTCATTAGTATTAGGGTTTAGTTTTTTTTCCTATTAGGATTAGGTCAGTTTTCTATATTTATATGGTACTTTGTAACTCTATATAAAAAGTTAGTCACGATGTAGTCTCTTGAAATTTTATAGCCATTTCGACAAATTTGTTTGTTTAATAATATTCTTATCATTTATAAAAACTATATATAACATGCGAAAAAGAACAAAACAGTCGCCTCTTCAGGACCGACAGTCGCACGATGCTTATACACAGAGGCAAGCAACTAAAGATATTAAGCCGTGGGACTCCCCAAACAATAGAAGAATATCCTTCAGTATGCAAATTCAATATGAGACACTGAAAGGCACAAACTCTTCGACAGAAAAGCTCTCAGCTGAGACTCCTTGCTGGACATTATCAAGTGAAAGGATAGAAGTTCGAAAAGAGCAAACTACCTAGAAGAATGTACGCAGCAGAGTATGCCCAAACTATATATCCCCATCTCTTACCAGTACCACGAGATTTCATTATATACGACGCAAACCAATAGAGGGGAGGGCTGAAGGATAAGAAACGAGTAGCAACCTGCCAAACATGAAGCATTCAAAGTTATGATATCAATTTTCCAAATACAAACCTTGCCAGAAAAATAACGTAATAATACCAGTAAAGAGCACAAGCTAAAAACCAAGATGGTAATCACTAATCTATTATGCCATTCTGATCGCAAGGCAGCATCTTCACACCATCTTTGGAAGAAAACTTTACGCGTCATCTCACTAAGTGAAAAGTTAGTCTTGGTGCATACAAATTTGGAAATACATGCATAGTTCGGAGTTTTTTGTAAGTTAGTTCTATTCAAAATGTAAAACTTGAGCATGATTAATCTTTACATGATTGGTAAATCTTCATCTATCAAGCTTTTCGTCCCTGAAACAATTTGTCCATTACAAGGGGAAACAAGCAACTGATTCCCTCTAGCTTGATTTTTCCATTGAAAGATAAAATAAATCATGATGCCAGTGATGATCGGATCTCTTTTGTTTTAACATCAGAATCCAAATATAAACCCAAAAATTTGACAAAATTATATTGATCAAGTCGAAGAGAATTACTGACAACCATAATTTCATGAAGCTGTGTTGGAACTGAACTAGGTTATCAAGAGCTTTGAGAATGCAAAGTATGGAAGCACTAGTATAACAACAACAACAAGAACAAAGCCTTTTCCCACTAAGTGGGGTTGGCCTATGAATCCTAGAACGCCATTGCGCTCGGTTTTGTGTCATGTCCTTCGTTAAATCCAAGTACTCTAAGTCTTTTCTTAGGGTCTCTTCCAAAGTTTTCCTAGGTCTTCCTCTACCCCTTCGGCCCTGAACCTCTGTCCCGTAGTCACATCTTCGAACCGGAGCGTCAGTAGGCCTTCTTTGCACATGTCCAAACCACCGGAACCGATTTTCTCTCATCTTTCCTTCAATTTCGGCTACTCCTACTTTACCTCGGATATCCTCATTCCCAATCTTATCCTTTCTCGTGTGCCCACACATCCCACGAAGCATCCTCATCTCCGCACCCATTTTGTGTACGTGTTGATGCTTCAGCGCCCAACATTCTGTGCCATACAACATCGCTGGCCTTATTGCCGTCCTATATAATTTTCCAAAACAGGAAATCAAATAACAACCCACGATTATACAGGCCCTAAAATCGTGGTGAGTGACTAGGTTAAAAACAGAAAACAACTTGTCCCTCAAGTATAGGAGGGTTATTAGCACGTCCAGGAGTAAACCCTAGAATAAAGGAACCCTAACGACTAGACTTTTGACTCTTTCAACAAGCTGAAATTTAGTATTCTATATTTCTCAAATACTCCTAGCTCAAATTTTTTTGGCAAGATAAAGAACTTTAAGAGGGAATAAAATCAAACCTGCACATGCATGACAAAAAATGCGGTGGCTGCCATAAATCCCAAATGTAGGATACATGGAAGCACAGCAACAGACAAGTATCCTTGCTTTGCTCATACTTTATGTTCTTCTGGGAGTAAGGCAGGACCATCTTTGTTCACTTGCTTCCTTGTGCGATTTTCTGTTACATTTGCAAACGATTGATTACACGCTGTTGAAAGCCAGCATGAATGGAAGAGAAACAATATTCCAAAAATACTGATTAGGTCATGCATAATAAAACAATTGGATGCATGTGCACATATTGATTTATGCTAAACGATTGATTTACTAGCTTCACATACGTCAACAGAATAAGCTATAAAGCAATGACAGTAATAATATGTCAAATCACAAAGCAATGGCTGTTTAAAAGTAAAACCCTGACTTCTGGAGGAGTATTCTGCTAGGGAAAATAGCACAGCAGCAGAATCCTTATCCTCAAGAGGTGCACGGAAACCCAAAGAGAAGAAATTTTCAGGATTTGACTTCGCGTAATGGACGATTGAGCAAAGTGCCAGAGACAATATTGGCGACGCCAGCAGAAAGTTTGGCAACTGTTTAACTTGGAATTATCTCAAGAAACCTACTCCCCTGGCATGAACGTAAACCATCAACTATGAATATATCTCTATTTTATTCCAATTTTTTTACATTTATCCTTTATTTGCACGGTATAACTATAAGTATAACAAGATGAAACAGTACAGATGTATATAGAGCTAGCCCAATTACCATTTCTTGCAAAATCAAATACTAATTTGCATCTTATACATAATAGACTATCCTTTATTACTATTTAGTGATGCTTTTCCAATAATCAGCAGGACAAGGACTTTTTTCGTAACAGTGCTCTACAACAATCGACAGTAATGATTGTGAACGTTTAGCTAAACCTGAAAAAAAGGTATTAGTCTGATGAACAAGCATTGGTGGTTAAAGATCACATACCAATAGTGACTTTGAATATAATTGTACAACAATGGTACCCTTGCATTGCACCAGGGCCTCATATCGGATGGAAGATGTCCAAGACAGAGCTTGTTGTATCCATATGCTTGAAATGCAATAAAAGGAACAAATATACATATACAGAGCAGAGCTCCACCAACAACAGCCTGCAATACCAACCGCCACAGAAATGAAAATTACTAAGCGATCATCTTTTTGATAAGTATAAACCAACAAATTGCTTTGTGCTACATAATTGACATGTTCTGTTTTCCTCTGATACTGTACAAGAATATTCTAACCACGTCTACATGGTATGGAGTGGTATGGTTTGCTGAATGAAAGTCTACTTTCGTGGAACCGAGTGGGCAAAATAAATTATTGATAATCATGATACTGAAGCTTAATCTTTCATATGTATCAACTTAAAATCATATGTAAAATAAAAAATTGAAACCTACAAAAGGACGCTTTCTCAAGAAAACAGCATCATAGGCCTGATGCATAGTTTGAAAACAGAAATAACCAGCATTAAGCACTCCATTGAACCTTGAAAATCCCGAAAGAGCAAACCAAAGAACAGCAATGACATCTTTTCCAGATATTAGATGGTACAATCCTCCAACTGAAAAAAGGACGAACAATGTCTCTGAATATCTGCAGTATAAAGCAGATGACAACCTCAGCCTGATGCAATATCATAGGTACCAACAAGAAAGAAACAAAAGAAAAGGGAAATTACATTGATGAATAGAATATGGAAGCTGAATTGAAGCAAAACAAAATCGAAGCCCTCACTGCTGCTTCTTGGTCCTTCAAAATGACAACTGAAAGCCTGTTAAAGTGACAAGGGAAAGACAAGTAATCAAAAGTTTTAAACCAATCGAAAAGTCAATGTAAAATAATCAAGGGCAGCCAATAGGATCCAGGTTGATATTTATAGCTCCCCATTCTCGAAACTTCATTCTGATATATATCTACATTCTTTCCTTTTAATTATTGACAAAATCCAATTTCAGAGAACAAGGGCCTCATTAAGGTGGCAGACAAGCTCTAATTATTGCTGGAAAGAAACACACTTGAAGATGCCAAATAGTTACAGTCCGGATAAACCTTTTCCGAATCGAATTGAAATTATGAAAATCCTAACTAGCTCACCTGTATAAATAAACTGCCGCAAACACGAAGCCAATGTTATTAATCACATAGCCGGATAATCCCAACACAGCTCTTTGCCCAATAACTGGAACCAATGGCGCCAAAACTGGAACCAATGGCGCCAAAACTGAAACACAAAGCACAACTCCTAACTATAAAAAAGCACTTATTCAAACTCAACAAACTGATAAAACACCAATTGGATATGCTTAAAGTTCAGAAATTGCCAATTGGGTAAGCTCAAAGTTCACAAATTGCCAATTGGGTAAGCTTAAAGTTCACAAATTGTCATTTGGGTAAGCTCAAATTTCACAAATTGCCAATTGGGTAAGCTCAAAGTTCACAAATTGCCAATTGGGTAAGCTTAAAGTTCACAAATTGTCATTTGGGTAAGCTCAAATTTCACAAATTGACAATTGGGTAAGCTCAAAGTTCACAAATTGCCAATTGGGTAAGCTCAAAGTTCACGAATTGCCAATTGGGTATTGCTTGAAACCGTAGAAACTAACATACTTCCAAAATGTTATTACTGAAAGCTGATAATCTGGGCTTAACCTGTGCGGGATAAGAACGACATGCAAAGATGAAGAAGGGGGAAGAAAGCATAGGTCTGCTCGTACTCGTAGCCATACTCTGCGATCCGGACAAAGTAGACACTGTCCCATACAATGCTGGACTCGATAGCCGAACCCAGGGAATGAAAGAGAACGTTTTTTTGTGCAGGGATGGTAGATAGGCAATCGGGATTGATGGGGGCGGAGGTGTCGTACTAGGACAAGAGAGTCCGCCATAGGAGGATTAGAGTCAGGACTGGATTGCTGATCTGATCACTGTGGCTTCATGGTATACTTCCTTCTATTTTTTTTATGGAACGTTACAAGTATAAGGTAAAGAGTAAGTATAAGTATTATTAATGGAGTGCCCAACGCCCTTCTCTGTCATTTTTTATTTTATTAGTTATTCTATATTTTTTACATTTTATTCTTTATTTATTAAAAACTTAAATTTCAATTTTTAGTTTCAAATAATTTAAAAAACCCACTAACTAATTTTAGTTTTGCCCCTTTCTAATTAAATTGTTAGGGAGGAGGATTTTGTGATATTATGAATATTGGCAAACTATCGTTGGACTCTATGAACCATTTTTTTAGTAAATTAAGGATTAAACATATTACAATTTATGTTGCTGCTAATACTTCAATATGTCAGCTAAAGCAATCAAGTCAAATACGACACATGCTCGGAGAACAATTAAAAAAGAGAAATTATATTCACACATTCTAAATTACTTCTTTCACACCAGTTTTTAATATTTTATACAAATCATTAACACTTGAAAGAAAAACATTAAAAAATTTAAAAAGTGTGAGAAAAGTAATTTAAGAGGTGTGAATATAATTTCCCTTAAAAAAAAACCAAATTTTTTTCATTGTCCATGTAGTGATAGGTTACTTTCAAAATGACCCCGTGATAAAAAATTTAAAAAAGTTAACAATCGTACACCTGAGGTGGAGTCCATTAGCAATCTTAGTCCAAATCAAAACTTTCATACAAGTGGCCGCAAAAAAATCTGTCGTCAAGGACGTCGTCCCGACCCTCTCTCTCTACCGCTCTGCTTCCGCCCTTGAAGTTCGTCTCAAAGAGTTTTAGATCTTCGCCCTGGATTGCCTCCGAGGTAATTTTCCTATCCACAAACTTTGTAATTTCCATTTCACAGCACAATTTTTGTCTCCAAACTTTGGTGATATCTTTTAATTTTGATTTTTGTTTGATTCCTGAAAAAATTCTGAAAAGCGATGCACATTTCTGGAGCTAAGTAAATAGAATACGCTATAAACGTACACCTTTCACCGTTTAGGGCATGAAATTAAACACACAACAAACTGAAGTTCCTGTACTTTTCAGATTAGCCTGAAATTTCTTGTTAAGGTAGAAAATGCTGAAAAAAAAAAGAAAAGATCATTGTCATGCTTGAGTGGTGACTGTTTGGGAGCCGGGAAAATAGTAGGATCGTGTTGATGTCTAGCGAATCCGGGGTTGAGTGGGTTTGTTTGTGGAAATTTGATTATAAATTGGTTTAATTTGTTGTGTTGAAAGACTGCAGCTACATGGTGTTGGTTCCAGAAAGAGAGAATGTAGTTGCAAATGCAGTAGTACAAGTTGCATAGGCACAGCATGAACAAACATCGACATGGCGCAACCGCATTACTGTCAAAAGCTAGTACAAATGAAGTTACATTAGGTAGCGTATAGGCTCTAATTTGGAGTAACACAATTTTTTCCGCATGCATATATGGCTCCCCAGGCAGCATCAGTTAAACTAATGTTCCAGCTCCACTCACATTCATGGGAAATCAACCACCACCAACTGGCCCGTTTGCACCTACATTTCCCTAACATACGTCTAATAATTCTCCTGGATCACTGCCTGTTGGGAGCTCTACTAGATGGTCAAGCGGTCTACCAGCTCCACAACCAGGTGTTGCATCCATGCCAGTTGCCACCACCTTCGAATATATCAACGGTGGATATGGTAATATTCTGTAAACCATCCTATTGCACCACCAAGTTTTACTTCTATTCCACGGCCTCAAGCGGGACTGACCTCAACATCTCTATCATCATCTCTGCAAGCAACATTTCTGGAAGTGTTCCAAATTTCACTCCCCTAAAACCACCAGTGATGACGGCTCCAAGCCATTGCGATTTCACTTTCAGCCTCACCGACCACAGAATCCATCCTTCCAAACAGTTCCCCAGACAAGCAGTCATTGCAGCACAATCCTTCTCCCGCCAAAAACCTGCCCAATGCAGAAAGAATAAAGATGATTAACAATATAATAATAATAATAAAACGTTCCTTGAGAAGATCATACCTGGACATGGAGAATGGGATCGAATCGACCATCAGCTTCAAATCATCTTCCAATCTATATCTATGTAAGGGATGTGGGATATTTTGTGCCAGTAGCGTCCTTTTCCTGGTTGACATCTCTCTTTTAGCACAGGACACTCATAGAAGCAAAGTTCCGTAAGTGAAAGAGGCAGTCCCTCCGCTGGAATGGATGCTAGCTTTGGACAATCCCAGAGTTCCAGAGATTCAAGGGAGGATAGGAATTGAAAGCCCTTGCTGCTCGGTTTCTTCAGATTTGGGAAGCCACCAATTGAGAGTTCAGTGAGAGATTTGAGGAGCAGCGTCTCCATCCGGACCATGTCCGGTGGAAACGATACCGTATCCAGGTCTTCACCACCAATCCACAAGTATCTAAGAGAGGTGAGTCTGCATAACCCCCACTCCAACTCCCACAATGACTTACAGCTCTTGACCTTCCAAATCATAAGTAATGTTAGGTTGGCTGGAAAGTAGCAAGTCAAACCTTCATGGTAGTCGATAATCAATTTCTCAAGAGAGTTGAAATTGTGCATGTCTTCGGGCAACGCCTTCAATTTGGAATATTGTTTCTCTTCCATTCATGCTGGCTTTCAACACCGTGTAATCAATTGTTTGCAAATGTAACAGAAAATCGCACAAGGAAGCAAGTAAACAAAGATGGTCCTGCTTTACTCCCAGAAGAACATAAGGTATCAGCAAAGCAAGGATACTTGTCTTTTGCTGTGCTTCCGTGTATTCTACATTTGGGATTTATGGCAGCCACCGCATTTTTTGTCATGCATGTGCAGGTTTGATTTTATTCCCTCTTAAAGTTCTTTATTTTGCCAAAAAAGTTTAAGCTAGGAGTATTTGAGAAATATAGAATACTAAATTTCAGCTTCATGAAATTATGGTTGTCAGTAATTCTCTTCGACTTGATCAATATAATTTTGTCAAATTTTTGGTTTTATATTTGGATTCTGATGTTAAAACAAAAGAAATTCAATCATCATTGGCATCATGATTTATTTTATCTTTCAATGGAAAAAGCAAGCTAGAGGGAATCGGTTGCTTGTTTCCCCTTGTAATTGACAAATTGTTTCAGAGACGAAAAGCTTGATAGATGAAGATTAACCAATCATGTAAAGATTAATCATGCTGAAGTTTTACATTTTGAATATAACTAACTCACCAAAAACTCCGAACTATGCATGTATTTCCAAATTTGTATGCACCAAGACTAAAGATTTTCACTTACTTAGATGACGCGTAAAGTTCTCTTCCAGAGATGGTGTAATGATGCTGCCTGGTAATCAGAATGGCATAATAGATTAGTGATTACCATCTTGGTTTTCAGCCTGTGCACTTTACTGGTATTCTTATGTTATTTTTCTGGCAAGGTTTAAAAGGTCGTACCCAGTGCACAAGGCTCCCGCTTTACGCAGGGTCTGGGAGAGGTGAATGTCGGCTAGCCTTACCCCCATTTATGGAGAGGCTGCTCCCAATTTTCTGGCAAGGTTTGTATTTGGAAAATCGATATCATAACTTTGAATGCTTCATGTTTGACAGGTTGCTACTCGTTTCTTATCCTTCAGCCCTCCCCTCTATTGGTTTGCGTCGTATATAATGAAATCTCATGGTACTGGTAAGCGATGGGGATATATAGTTTGGGCATACTCTGCTGCGTACATTCTTCTAGGCAGTTTGCTCTTTTCGAACTTCTATCCTTTCACTTGATACTGTACAGCGAGGAGTCTCAGCTGAAAGCTTTTCTATCGAAGAGTTTGTGCCTTTCACAATGTCTCATATTGAATTTGCATACTGAAGGATATTCTTCTATTGTTTGGGGAGTCCCACGGCTTAATATCTTTAGTTGCTTGCCTCTGTGTATAAGCATCGTGCCACTGTCGGTTCGGAAGAGGCGACAGATTTGTTCTTTTCCGCATGATATATGTAGTTTTTATAAATGATAAGAATATTATTAAACAAACAAAATTGTCGAAATGGCTATAAAACTTCAAGATGTTACATCGCGACTAACTTGTTATTCTACAGAATTACAAAGTATCATGTAAATATAGAAAACTGACATAACCCTAATAGGAAAAAAAATAACGAAACCCTAATACTAACGAGTTAGGCCCAAAATACCCAACATTGAAATTTGAAATAACAAAAATGTTATTATTACAATTTATTTGTATTCGAATGCGTTGGCTTAATAAGTAAGGAAATAAAACCCCAGTACTAATGGGTTAGGTTCAAAACACCAAACATTAAAATAATAAAAATGTTATTCTTACCATTTATTTGTATTTACATGAGTTTGCGGACCCTACATCCATTAAAGAGATGATACACGTGAGGATACAAATAGCTACTCTTAAAATAAAGAGATACTTTGGATGCGGTTCCTACTTCTTAACATTCTTTGACTAAAACCTTAATGATATTCAAAGTTTGATCAAAGTCCCTTGACTTTGTACACCTCATTATATTACAATTAATATTTATAGTTTTATAGTGTTGACATTAATTGTTAGATATTTTATGAGATTTATAATCCTATAAATTTAAAATCCCTCATTATAATACTATTAGAAACGGTTACAATAAAAAAATTCAAACATTTTGATTGAATAAATGGATAAAAACTATGTATAAATAATAAATACTAAATGGCAAAAGAATGTATCCATAGTGTGTTAAAAAAAATTGGTACATTTCACATATAACAAAGTAGTACATTAATAAAGAAGAATGGGTACATTATAAATAAATTAGGGTACAGATAAAAGATTAAAAAATTATGAGTGCAAATGAATTTTTAAAAATAGGTGCTAAAAGAAATTAATACATGGGTACAAAATAAAACTGAAAAGAGAATACTACAAATTTAAAAAAAATGTTGCAAATTAAAAGTGGGTACAAACTAAAAATATAAATATATGATACAAAGTTTAGGCATAAAACATAAATATACCATATGTAATTTTTCTATCATTGATTAAATATATAATGTCACGTGACGGTATACACATGGGTACAAACACAAATAAAACTTTAAAAAATATGGGCACGAAAAGAAACTAATATATGGGTACAAATAAAAAATGAAAAAAAAATTGGTACAAATTAAAAATAGGTACAAACTAAAAATGAAAATATATGATAAAAAATTTAGCCATAAATATAAATATACTAATTGTAACATTTTTAACACTAAAGGAATATATTTAAAAATAAAAATATTTTATTATTCAAATAATTAATGGTGTTATTAATACCCAAGGACCTTGATTAAAAATTGAAAATGAATAAGATTTTAATCAATGAAGTAGCAAAAAGAATGATGTGATCCTAATTTTTAGATACTAGTATTTTCCAACAAGATTCACCCATATCATACAAACTGTCTTAATTCTAGAACACACATACATATGAGTAATATTCAAACATTGCAATTCAATTCTCTCCTCTCGAATGCTTTTTTATTTTCTGGAATTATTTTAATTCTTGCTGGATACATCTCATCAGTTATAGTAGTGGTGACAATATAGTATTACAAGGCCTGAGGCCGCATAGATGACAGATGCAGTACACTTGAACCAGAGAGGAAATGGGATTGTGATGGAAACGAAGAAGGCGGTCACTCCAAAGAAGACACCAAAATAATGGAATAGATGAACGATGATTCGTGGACATTTGGAGTTCTGAATGCACTTGCTAACCAAGATGCTAGAAAAGGAGAGTGTGATTGCCAGACCGAGAAAGCAAAAGGTTAGAGGGAGCTGCTTGGAGTGAACTTGGATGGGTACGAGAGCCATTGCAATTGCCGTTGACAAGCAATACGACAGAATAATCGTTGCCCAATCAAAGTTGTGCTTCCTAGGCGGCCTAGAGCTGGCGGCAGCTGCTGCTGGTGGTGGCTCGGCAGGTGCAGTTGTTTCCAGGTCATTATCCAACGCGCTAGTGAAGATTTTGTTTACTTGCTGCAAACATGCCTTCATTCTTGTGGAAAGGGGAGAGGGAGAGATGGGTTTGTTCATTGGTTTTTGGTCGAGGAGAGATGGGTTTGTTTATTGGTTTTCGGTCGAGGAGAGACACGTTTGTTAATTTCCAAATAATCGCACATGATACATATACATATAGATTAAAAATACACATGTACACACATATAAACAGATCAGGATCCTCTCATGAGCCTGCTGAGTAGACAATCGTGACCGTTGAAATTTGATCTAACGATTATAATTATTATAACTTTTAGAGAATCTCCCTGTTTGCAGCTGTTAGATCAAATTTCAACGATCACAATCCCCTGCGCAGCAACTCATATTTTAAGGCTCAGGATCCTGATCCCATATAAACGTCAAATCGACTAGTGCATATTCTACGAAATGTCAAGGAAGTTGTACTATTGCTAAGCTCGTCATTTGCCCTTTCTAAATTTATTATTTATTTTAATCTTTTAAAAATTATTGTTGTTATTCTAAAAATCTAATTATGTAATCACTTAATACTACGCTCTTAAGTGGTATTTTTTTTTACTTGTAAGTGAGAGGTTTTAAGTTCGATTATCACCAAAGGTGAATTTAAACCACATTATGACTAGCTTATTGTGAGATTTAGTCCACTTTCCCTTTGCAATTAGTGTAAATTATATCGTTTGTTAAAAATAATGAAAATGTACAACCTAAGTGTACATTTAAATTTTTTTTTTATAATTAGAAAGAAATATCCTCTTATGCAGTGGCTGCAGAAATGCCTTGTCAATGAAAAGAGTAGACGAGAAAGAGAGAATGGAAAGAGAAGAATGAAAGAATAATTGAGTCGAAACATTGGTTTTTTTCCTCCCTGAAGAGTACAAAAAGACATATTTAGCAAAAAGACAAAAGTTTTTTTAAAAAAGACATGCCTTTAAAATCTCAAAAGACATGTCTCATGTCTTTTAAAAAGAGATTATAAAGACATGTCTAGCAAAACGTATTACTAACGTAAGGATTGCAGTTGCACTGTTCATTTGTTTTGACCAGAATTTCCACTTATTTACGGTTCGGCCACTGGCTCAGGTATTTCATTTGCTATTCTACTTTTTGAATATGAGAAATTTTATTTGAGCCCATGTAACCTCTTTCTACACCTAATTTAAATTTAAATTGTTAATTGTCTATTTTACCCTATTGCATAATTACTATTAAGTACAAAATGAAATTAATAATAAAACTCAAATTTATCAATAAACCCATTAAACCCTACCATCTTTTCTTGTTTATCCTACGTTCATTCTGGCTAAAACCCTAATAGGTCTTGTAGAGAAAAACAAGTTTTTTTTATTGATGGATGGTGATTTTGAAGTTTTGAATCCTCTAACTAAGGTATGACTCAATTTATGAATATTTTGTTCATTTGATTTCAATTTTTTTTTTTTAAGTTTAGAAGATGAGTATTTGGGTTTCAATTTTTTTCATCAATCCCGAATGATTTGTTAAACTTTCTGTAATTGGAAAATTCTAAGAAAAAACTTATTACCAATGTTCTTAGATTATAAACTTCCTTGCTTGCTTGTTGATAAATATAAGGGGATGAATTGTTTGATTTGTTACTTATGCATATCAGTAGAAGGAAAAAAGACAAATGTCTGGGTTTGGTAGCAAAAAAAAAAAAAAAGAAAAAAAAGTAGCCATGGAAATGCTAGTGGGAGGTGGGGGTGAGGCAAGGACACCTCTTACCTCTTTTTTAAAAGAGGTGTCCTTGCCTCACCCCCACCTCCCACTAGCATTTCCATGGCTACTTTTCTTTTTCTTTATGCTACCAAACCTATACATTTGTTTTTTTTTCTACTACATAAGTAACAAATCAAACAATTCATCCCCTTATATTTATCAACAAGCAAGCAAAGAAGTTTATTGTAACATCCCACATCGTCTAGGGGAGTGTATCATGTAAGCATTATATGTATATTCACATCTCTACCTAGCACGATGCTTTTTGGAAGTTCACTGGCTTCAGGTTCCATCGGAACTCTGAAGTTAAGTGAGTTCGCGCGAGAGCAATCCCATAATGGGTTACCCACTGGGAAGTTCTCGTGTGAGTTCCCAGAAACAAAATCGTGAGGGCGTGGTCAGGGCCCAAAGCGGACAATATCATGCTACGGTGGAGTCGAGCCCGGGATGTGGTGGGGGCCCAGGCGGGGATGTGATAATTTTATATCAGAGCCAATCTCTGGCCGAATGTGTGCCGAAGAGGACGTCGGACCCCTAAAGGGGGATGGATTGTAACATCCCACATCGCCCAGGGAAGTAGATCATGTAAGCATTATATGTATATTCACATCTCTACCTAGCACGAGGCCTTTTGGGAGCTCACTAGCTTCGGGTTCCATCGGAACTCCGAAGTTAAGCGAGTTCGATCGAGAGCAATCCCATGATGGGTGACCCACTGGGAAGTTCTCGTGTGAGTTCCTAGAAACAAAATCGTGATGGCGTGATCGGGACCCAAAGCAGACAATATCGAGCTACGGTAGAATCGAGCACGGGATGTGGTGGGGGCCTAGGCCAGGATGTGACATTTATAATCTAAGAACATTGGTAAGAAGAAGTTTTTCCTTAGAATTTTCTAATTGCAGAAAGTTTAACAAACCATTCGGGATTGATGAAACAAATTGAAATCAAACGAACAAAATATTCATAAATTGAGTCATACTTTAGTTGGAGGATTCAAAACTTCAAAATCACCATCTATCAATAAAAAACACTTTTTTTTCTCTACAAGACTTATTAAGGTTTTAGCCAGAATGAACGTAGAATAAACAAAAAGTGATGGTAGGGTTTAATGCGTTTATTGATAAATTTGAGTTTTATTATTGATTTCATTTTGTACTTAATATTAATTATGTAATAGGGTAAAATAGACAATTAACAATTTAAATTTAAATTAGGTGTAGAAAAAAGTTACATAGATTCAAATAAAATTTCCCATCTCCAAATGTCCTTTATACATTTTTGCAGCCAAGACTTTGTGATGTATGTTGGAGAGCCTGTTTGGGCGTTAGATTGGTGTCCTAGAGTTCATCAAAGTAGCGATGGTCATCCAAAATGCGAGGTACATGATTTTTTGAGGTCCTTCCTTCTTTCATTCTTGTCAAAGTCCATTAATTTAAGGGTCTATAATTTAAGGGGGGAGATAGTCAGAGAGGTGAACTATGTTGACAAATGGGATGGTGGATTATAATGTTGTATGAATTAGTGTGTTAGGATTTTGTATCTTGTTGTGTGAGTTAATGTTTTCTGTTTGTATTGTGAATGATTTTGCATTCGTTGCTGCCAGGTTTTTGTCCCAGTGTTTATACAATACTTTGTAATATTGAAATGTAATTAATTTCAAATTCTTACAGAAATGGGTATAATGTAGACATAATTATGTGAATTATTGAGTTTTCGAGGGAAAGTAATTTTGATTTTTTGATATTTGGGCTGGCAAGAGAAGTGGAATTGAAAAGCAGAAGGCTTTAGAGAAAGCGGCCAAGCTTCCGGTAATAATGGTGAATGTATCTTTGTGTAGATTTTGGATACATTTTTATGTTTTGTCAAATTACATTTTGTTGTGCTGCGTGATGTAGAATCTTCCTAGAATCAATGCCTGAGATGACTGATAAAGAATAAGGTGTTATTTGATGGTTTTATCTTTTTTTAATTGTTGGTGCAGAGCTTGACAAAATTGTAACTGCACTGATGTTCTCCTTTTTCCCAAATTCAGTATTTGGGACTTTCTTCCTCTCTGTATCTTTAGGAGAAAACTGACATGTTCTATGCTACACAGAATAGGATGTTGCCTAATGCTTACCGGTTGTTCACAGGTACATTTCTTTTATACTTTTTGTTGACTAATTTTTGCTTAATTTCAGTCCTGTATTTCACTTATGAGAGAAGAAAGTGTGATGTAGAAAGTTAGTTTGAGCTACAATTGCATACTGTGTGTTGCTTAGGAACTGAACGTATATCAATAGTCTATAGGTTAGCCTCGCAAAATGTTAACTGAGTTGATTACACCTCTGCCTTGCCTCTCGCCTCTTCTCTCGCTGTTGATCAGCCCTTCTTACAACTTCATCTAAAATGTTCTGCATGTATAAGATTTGTGTTCATAGAGGTCATTTCAAAGGGATCTCAAGCTGGGCTGCTGAGATTTTATTCAAATTTATGGATTTGGGTAAGAAACTAAGAACCCCTAATCTTTTCTTTCGGTTGTAAGAGCTGAGTTTGTCTGCCAAGTGCAATCGCCTGCAAAGGCAAGTTCAAGGTTAAATCTTAGCTCTCTTCGTACACGGTTTACATGGAAAGTAACTATTTATATATGTTCTGCTCTTTTAACTTATCAAGTTATGTCAACAAAATTGTCTTTTTGCAGCTATTATTACTTTGATCAGAAAGAGATTGGTAGATTGAGCCTTTGCTACAGGTACCAAGGCTTTTCATCTTTAATTTTGTTTGGTTATCAATTATTAGCGTAGTCAGGCATTACAATAAGCTCATTCCTATGACTGAACTATAGAATATAGATACAGAACTGTGTGGCAAATTGGATGAATTGAAGAGAGACGATTTCTTATCCTATAAGAATATGGTCTTTCTTTTAGTTAATGTATGGTGGTTGTGTTTGCTTTGGGTTTAACATGAGTAAGTTCATTCTCTTAAATTCATATGGTAGATGGTTTTACCAAGTCTTCATCCTTACAAGTAATATGTCATCTATCACAGGGGCATATCCTTACAGGTAATGCGTTTAAACTTATAATTTAAAGTCAATTTTTTTTCTTTGTGTCTGCTTATCATAGGGGCAACGAGGATGGGAGTTGAAGTCAAACGCATGTGTGACACAGATTCGAAGGTTATTCAGTAAGTCATTGATTAAGTCAAATAAAACTGCCTTCATTTCTTTTTGTGTCCATGATCTAATTTTACTTGGGTGATTTAATTCTATGTGATGATTTCTTCTGGTTTTTTTCCATTCTGTGATTTAATTCAATGATGGAATTATGGATGCCGAAGAGAAGAAGGCTGGTATTATTTCTTCTTTTTGAAACAATTTTTTTTTTTAATGTGTTGCAAAATGGATGATGCAATGAAAAAAATACGCTGTGGGTATCTTTGCATGCTATAATAGATTTTCTTTTTGGTAAGTTTGTGTTTTTGATGAAGTTCTCGATTAAGAGCTGTCACACCCCGATCCCAACATACGTAACAAATCGACGCGTGGCAAAGGAAAAATAACATTCGTTGAATATGACATACCATACGGAATGAAATACTTTAATTGCAACCCAAACTAAAAAGAAATTGGCCAACAACCATAATCCTCACACTGATCTTATTAAAAAGAAATCGACCATCATATGTAGAAAATACTTATATTAAAAAAGCAAATGTTGCTCGTTCCCGACATAAAAAAACGAGTCTGCATGGAATTTTATGCAGATATCTAGCTAGTACATTACAACTATGTTTCCACTATCGAACGTTTTGTTTATGATGTTTTCTCCTTGCTTGCTATAGCTTTATTTATAGTAGTGCTGACAAAAGAGTACTACAAGGCCTGAGGCCACATAGATAAGAGAGGCCATACATTTGAACCAGACAGGAAATGGGATCGTGACGGAGATGTAGAAGACAGTGACTCCGAAGAAGACCCCGAAATAATGGAAGAGATGAACTATTATCCGTGGAGAGTTGGAGTGCTGAATAAATTTGCTAACCATGATACAAGCAAAGGCAAGTAGGATTGCAAGACCGAGAAAGCAAAAGGTTAGAGGGAGCTGGTTGGAGTGAAGTTGGATGGGAATGAGAGCCATTCCAATGGCTGTCGACAAGCAATACACCACGATAGTCTTTGCCCAGTCTAAGTTGTGCTTCCTGGTCCTAGAGCTGGCGGCAGTGGCTGGCAGCAACGGCGGTGGGGGTTGATCAGCCGGTACTATTGTTTATAGGTCAAGATCATTATCCAACGCACTGATGAATACCTTATTGAGTAGTTGCTGCAGAAATGCCCGAAGGCACCGATAAGCACTAGCAATATGGTAGTTCATACTAGTAGCTAATAACCCTACACAGCTGGGGAGGAAGGGAGAGTGATGGTTTAATTTTTAAGTCCATGAGAGAATTCATGGTAGACTTTATACACCTGGGGCAGAGCTATGCTTGCGTGCAAGAAGGGATCATGATAAGGGTGGCCCTTGGAAAGTCAACACTTGATCCCTTTCTTTCTTTCTTTTTTTTTAAGTGGAAACCCAACATTTGGGGAGATTTTGGAATTTGTGCAGAATACGGGGTAATATATCACACGTCATTATATAAGTAGTGAAATATTTGTATTAAAAAATTAACAACTTAAAAAATAAAATTTTATTTCATTTTTATAATAATATGTGGTATATCACATGTGTTCCAAGCATAATGAAATTTTTTTTCCAACACTATCGCTTTTTTTTTTCTGTTTTGTCAAAATGGGGAACTCAACACTTGATCCGCTTCTAAATTGGGCCCAAACTCGACACTTGATCCCCCTTCTGTACTGGATCCCCTTCTTTTTGTCTTGTCAAGGTGGAAACTCAACACTTGCTCCCCTTGTTTATTAATATATCCAAGACGTGGGCAATGCATCAGCCAATTTCTTTTTTTCATGTCTACATCAATGAACTTTTTGGAGCTTTTTTTCATGTAGACATCAATGATCTTATTTCCCTCTGGAGACTTTACACTTATCAAAAGAGCATAGCAATTGGGTTGCGAGCGACTTGCGAGTCTACACTCCCAAAACGCAGCGTTCTGATCATCTCTCTCCTTAATCCTCACACTGGTATTCTCTCTCTCTTTCTGTATGTTAGGTACTCAAGCTCAAGGAAAGAGCCCAACCCAAAAGACTAGTCCAATAGGTGGGAGGACCCCAAGGACTTAAGAACTCCTACACTTCCATAAGTGTAGTCAATGTGGGATCATAACATTACACCACCCTTCGGAAGACCCGACGCCCACGGCGGTAATCACGTCGCCCCAGTCCCTCGTCACCAAGTCCCTTGGAGCCCATACTCCCAAGGCGGTAATCACGAGACGGCACGTCACGTCATCAAGACCCGCAGCATCGGGCACCTAGGCTTTGATACCAATGTTAGGTACTCAAGCCCAAGGGAAGAGCCCAACCCAAAAGACTAATCCAATAGGTGGGATGACCCCAATGACTTAAGAACCCTACAATCCCATAAGTGTAGTCAACGTGGGATCATAACACTGTATTTCCTATAGTTCTAGGCAGGTAGGTTGTATTTTCCGACAAAATTTTGTTTGGCTGATGAGAAACCTGAGGAAAATAATAGAAAGAAGAGAAATTGGAGTTGGTGGGGTGAATTAAATAGTCAATTTTCTATTCTAATTACTTTAGAGTTCAATGAATTCTTTGAATTAAGGTCAGCAATTTGCAGTTCCATTGAAATCAAAGGCTTTGGGAAATTAAACCCTAATTGAAATTGTATCTTGTCTACCTAATTTCGTGGTTGTCTTGTCTGTTTAGTGAAATACTGAAATTTATAAGAGTTTGGTGAGTTGAAGTGAAATTCTTCAGATTAAAAGTTATCAGCTTCGGTTTCGTCTCTTACGTTTTCTCGGCATTTATGTGCCCGTTGGATTGGAGAACAGGATGACTGCAAAGGTTGGCGCTGCATCCGCAGTCGAACCTCGCACTGTTGAGATGTCTGGTACAACGATGACACCTGCATCATCAGCTGGTACACAAAAGGTCTCCATGTTTGCTGCCAGGGCTGGATTTGTTATACCGAAAAACAAGCTATCGGGTTCACTTGTGCCTGTCTTTCGCGGAAGTAAAACCCTAGGAGCTGGTGATGCGCTTAGTGGAGAAAGTAAGAAACAGATTCAGAGGAAAACAAAATGGGGCCCTGATCTCACCCAGGATGCTTCTGTCAAAAAGGGAAGAGCTTTAGCTTATCAGGTATTGTTTGGATTGTTTGCAAGTCCTTTTCTGGTCATCTTTCATTTGATACTATGTGATTTCGTAGTTCTAAGATCAAAATTTGTTCTTGGTTTATGCATCTTTTTCCCACTTTACCGTTTTTATGTTTGCGCAATGTCAAACCTCGCTAATTGCATGTTCCCATCCCCATATAGTTAAAATTTCAAATTTATGGTTTGGAGGCATTTGTCGCCCAACTTGTGGGAGGAATAAATATTTCCAGCTAGTGGAAGTTCATTGTTTCCCTTTTACATTGGGTATTAAAATGCTGGTTGTGTCTTCTGTGTGAATGGTTCACATGGAAACCTCCCATTCTAGGTGCCACTACTAAGTGATATTACTGCCTGTTTGGTGGTACAAATTTTGAGCAGACTCGGGTGGATCAAATTACACAAAAGGCTGAAATCTGGAATGTTAGAGGATGAGAATGATGAGGACCTACTATCAGCACCTCAAGATCTGCACCACAAATCCAAATCCTCTAAGCATGAAATTGACAAAAAAGGTAAAATTCCATTTCATGTTCTCTCTTTTTTTTTTTTTTTTTTTCATTTATTCTTGATTACTTTTGTTTCTATGTTGAATGATGTTTCTATTCTTAAACACTGATAATAATATTCATCAATGTGGGACGTCAACCAGTTGGAACTTGAAAAGCGGGAAGCCATAGGTGCGTTTGACAGCTTTCTTAGATTATATGGTTATACCTTCTTGTATGTTATATTATGGATTGCATGATATTGTTTTCTTGACGATATTCAGGTGAGATATTAAAAGCTAAATCCAAGCTACAAGGCCCCACCTGATTATAAACCTTTGTTGAAAGAGGCTACAGTCCCTTTTCCTCTAAGTTTATCTTCTGGTTCTGCAATTCTCTGCAACTCTTTTCTAATTAACTGTTTAGGTAATATAAGTTATTTTATCATGGTGTGAAAGTGTTCTGTCCATCTTAGTTGTATTGATTTAAAATGAAACTTACCCAAGAAGAATATGTATGTGGAATTTTCAATCTGGACTCATAAGTGGCAGTCTTATCGTTCACTTCTACAATGATAAGTATGGACCTTAAATCTGAACAGGTTGGCCATAATTTGGGGTTGAGGGTGAAGAATGGGCCACAGAGTACTACATGAATTCGAAATAGCTGGTTAAAGCTTTGCAACTTATGGGTACAATCCCTATTAATCTGGTGGAATAGTTTAGATTTACTCATTTACTTTAAGCATATTTAGCATTGCTTTTTCGGTTGGTTCCTTCCGTACTGGTGTTGGTTTGAATCCTGATAATATTGATCGTAAGTTCACATAATAAGAATTATTTGGTTGCTTTAAGAACTTTCACCAAGCGGCTAGGTTGTTTAGAGCTCCTGTTGCGAAAACAGTCCATCTAGAAAGATGGCTGTTGTTGCCCATGTTTTACCTCCCTGAACCCACATTGCGAGAGCCACATGCATTCAACTGCCTTTTTAGGAACTTCTAGTATGAGTTGACATGTCATTATTTCACACAGAGATGAACGGACTGTGGATACAACCATTTTATTACTAAGAGTAAAGATTGCAACGGGTTGCTATGTTTGTTGACCATTACTTTTACAAGGTTTCCTTTGGCCAGGGGTGGAAGGTGGGGACCTAAAGACAGGAGCATATATTATCCAGTTTCATGGTTTGCTGAATCGGCCAGTATTTGAATTCTGTTGCTTAGATGTTTTTAAATGCTTTTCAGATGAAGGAATATCCTAAATACAATTTTGTTGGCCTGATATATGGTCCTGGAAGTGATAACCAGAAACAATTAGAAAAGGTAAGAGTTTTGTGTATGCTTATGACGGTTATGCCAAACACTTGTGATTAGCAAGGGTATGTTCTGATGATCTTTGTGTCGTGTGTGTTTTCTCTATATTTCTTTTTGATCGGCGCAAATAAGGAAACTGGAGCCAAAATTCAAGTCTATGGTACCAAAGCTGGGACAGGACATAAGGTAATTATTCAGTAAATAATATAGAACAGTAAGGAATTAATGTCAAGATAAATTTGAGAGTCCTCATCATCAATTTTACCCATTTTCATCTGTTCTTAAACTATTATTTTACGGAAAAAAATCTATTGTGGAATGGTTGCTTCGAGATGTGACATAATGCTCATACGTACATGCATTGACCTTCCCTTCTTTTATCCTTTTTAACTTATTTGCAGGCTAAATAAAACCATCTGATGGGAGTGAAATCCAGGGTGAATATGAAAACCTATACGTTCATGTATCAGCTGACACATTACAGATAGTAGATGCATTGCTGTAATTGAACTCTTAGTCACCTCTGTATCAGTGAGTTTCCTTCTTATTTTCAAACAGAAAGCTTTACATCCAACAGTTTCTTAAAATTTCTTCTTTTGTGCTATTTATTATGATTTCTACAGTTGTTTTCTCACTATTGTTACTTTAAATACTTCCATATAGGGAAATCTGGCAGCGGTTAGCAATATAGGTGCTTCAGTTTCTGGTGATAATGCTCATGTTCCCAGTGAAGTCCAGGACACTACCACCTCTAATATGGTTCCGACTACTGTGGTAAATCATGGAATGGTACAACCATTGCCAAACTTGGCACAAACTTCACTGGATGGGCAGTTTCGGTACCCTGGTCCATTTTTCTCGAGCGGCGCATCTTCCGCTCCCATGAATATGCCTGGCTTCACTCGGCTGAATTCTTCGAGACCAATCCTCAACAATCCTTCCCATCTTTCAACATCACCTTTCGACCCTGCATACCTGCCTTCGTCATTTGGGCTTCAGCCGTCTCTTGTTTGCCCTAGACAAAATCCACCAACAACACAATTTTTGCCGCATACATATATGGCTCCCAATCAGTTCTCTAATGTTCACCACTCCCATGGCAACACAACTTTTTGCAACTTTTCATGCATTTTTGCCACCTATATGGCTCCCCAGCCTGCATCAGTTCAAACTAATGTTTCAGCTCCACTCACATTCATGGGAAACCGACCACTGCCTGCTGAGAGCTCTACCGGATGGTCAAACTGGTCCACCAGCTCCACAACCAGGTGTTGCGTCCATGCCACCACCTTCAAATATATCAACGGCGAATATGGTGTCTTCTCTAAACCATCCTATTGCAGCACCAAGTTTTATTTCTTTTCCACGGCTGCATGGCTGGCTGTCGTCGGCTCGGGGGGGGGGGGGGGGGGGGTGGGGTTTATACACGGGGAATTCTTGGTGCTGCATGGCTGGCTGTCGTCGGCTCGGGGGGGTGGGGTTTATACACTAACAAAGATTCATGGTGATGCATGCCTGTCGTCAGCTCGTGTCGTGGGGACAAACAGAGTTCAGGGGCCCCTCTCAAATATTCCGTGAGACGCCACTATGGCAGAGGGTCGACAAAATCAACGTCAGACTTAAATGCATTTATTCATGTTAATTGTTTTGCTCATGCGCATGCAAAAGACCGCCTAAAGATCATATGTTTGGGTGAGAGGGACATCAAAGTTCCAAAGAATTAAGGTCAAATTAGCAAGGAATGAACTACAAACTACTAAAGGAGAAAATAACTGCACTTCGTAGGTATTATAAAGGTTTGTGAATGAAAGTATCAGTCATTCATAACTCCTATGCCTTTTCTAGTCCATTCAAGACTAACTTGACATCATTAATCCCTTGAAATAAGTTCATTACCCCAATCATTAAAAGGGTGTCAAATACGAATACAAAAATGAACTCAAATATTTTCATAGTCACCATGTAGAAAGAGAAATAGTTCTCATAGAAGACAACAATAAAGTTGGAAATGATATCATATAATATAGCTGATTGAATCTGAAAGCAAATCTTTCTCCTATCATACGTTGTTCCCATATCAGAGGGCTTCAAGTCACTGTTACTGCCCATACCATTGCCATACTCTACAAATGGTGAGGATTTAATGCATTTGCGCACGGCAATTTTTAATGACAATTTTAAGAACGCAGTGAAGTATTTAAGGCTTGCTCTTCACTTCACATCCCCCAGTAGGCCTGGCATTTTGGACCCAACTCGTTAATATTTGTATTTGGGTGGATGCTTAACAGGTCGGGTCGCTAACGGGTGAACTCGTTAACAACCCGTTAAATAACGGGTCACTTTGGGTCAAACCGTTAGACCCGTTAGGACCCATTAACACCCATTAGTTGAGGATATTTTAGTAATTTTAGTAAACTCTTAATAACAAAAAATAAAATTTATGCAAAAAAAAAAATAATAATAATAATAATTGTTAACGGGTGAAACGGGTGACCCGTTAGCTTAACAGGTCGGGTTCGGTGACCCGTTAGCTTAACGGGTTGGGTTCGGATGACCCGTTAACTTAACGGGTTGGGTTGAACCCGACCTAAACCCAATAAACCTGACCCGTTTACATATCTATCCCCCAGTACTGCTGGCCTTGCATCCTTTGGTACAGGTAAACATTTGTTCTAGTGAAATAATGTACTTGCAAGGATTGATATTTTTATATAGTAAAATAAAAATTAATAGAGAAGGGAAGAGGAGATCACGTCATACTTCAGAAATACCTGAAGTCTTCATCTTGCCCTGTTCTAACTTGAGCAATAATATTGAGAGTACTCAAGCTCGGGCAAAAGCAAATCACCTACTTGTTGAACCATCTATCAAAGTTAGTTATAAATGTGTAATTAATTGGTCCAACAAAATTGACGAAGACATATAAACAGAGAAAAATCGTTGAATCTTATATTACCTGCAATGAACGGAGAAATAATTTGGTATAAAAATCTGATAAGAATCTAATTTCACAAAACTTCAATTCGGGCCTAAACAAAGTGTGAAGGGTGGCAGAAGGGGAATTTTATGGGCGACAGGAGGATGAATCTTATACCATTTGCACCAGAAGCAAACAAAAGAGCAGAACGGGGATTTTATGGGGACAGGATAAGCAAACGGCCCCTCAGAAATATTCCGTGAGGTTTCTACCAGGCGTTCAAAGGAGAGGTTTTCAATCTATTCTGTTTCACAACTCTGTTGTCGGAAATTCTCATTCCGACAAACTCAACGTCACAAAAGTCTCGTCTCATACAACTTCGTAAGTACATATGAGCAGATATTTTTGAATTCTCTGAAAGCATGCCTCCAAGAAGTCGTCAATGCATCAACAACTTTTTAATCTAACTCGAACCACCGAAGTTCTCATAAAAATAAAAAACAAACAGGGAAAATGAATCTTAAAATATATATTCTTGCCTACAATTATGCTAAACAATTAGAAACGAAAAGGAAAATATTAAGGAGACAACATTTTTGTACTATATTAATGTATTATGTGATGTGGAAAGTGAAAGTGTACATATCACGATAATAAAACAAAATTTGGTGTGTATCAGTTCAGAAATTCATACTTTAATGTCCACAAATTTTGGCTTATTAATTGAAATGTCCTTTGAAACTGACTTTTTTTGTCTCACTTTCCCCGTTCCGTTAAATAACTATTAAATTCAAGGATATTTTAGACATTTCAGTTTTTACACATCTATTTACCTCTATTGTCACAGCCCGTCCCGAAATAAATTATCGATGACGTGAATTGACTATTTTACCCTTGGACGTGAGTGTCGTGGTGTGTGTTATGCATGTTAGGGGTGGTCCAAACTTATGTTTTTCCTTAATTTTTGGACCAAAGTAACACTTAGTTTTGTGGTTTTGGTTGGTGACCATGTGGACCATTCACACACACACAAACCCTTCTTCTCTCTTCTCTCCTGTGTTCTCTCTCCCTCGGACTCACTCTCTCTCCTTCCCTCACGTACGGACAACCTTCAAATCTTCACTTCCAGTCACAGATCAAAGCTAGGGAAATGATATTTGTGTTCCTTGCAACTCCAAGAATTCATCCATACCATCTTTGTAAGTGAAACCTTCGAAAACCCGAGAACTCAAAATCTCAGTTTTGATGCACTGTTCATGTGGACGTAATTATGTTTCGGGTGATTTGAAGCTTGTAGGAAGCTTTATAACATCCCCACGAAGCTCGGAGAAGAAAAACCAAGCAATTTGGACGTCGGGATCGTCGGTTTCAAGTTTGGTCGGTTTTTCTCGAATTTCTCCAGCGAAATTCCGTGATCTTTGGGGCTTTAAATAGGTAAGGAAATGTTCTACAAGTTAAGAGCTTTATTTTGGTGTTGGTTTCATGAATTTTGGTTGAAAATCGAGAGAGATATCAAGGTTTAAAGAATTCCCCAGTTTCTGGCGCCGGCGACGGTCGCCGGAGTTCTGAGGTTAGGGATGACATAATATTCCGTCAATTTTGACGGAATATTCTAACGGCGTTAGTTAATTTTAACAGATTCCGTTACTATTTAACAGAATATTCCCAACGGCGTCACTGTTGCCGTTGGTGTGCCAGGCACGTGCCCTCGCGTGGGCGGCACATCTGGCTATACCTTGGCCGGTGCGTGGGTGGTTGGAAATTTTTTCTAAATATGAGGATGTTCGTGAGGTTGTGTAGATCACGTTGGTATATTCAAACACCCCATTTGAGCATTGTATGAGAAGTTATTAGCTAGTATTGGTTAGGTGCTTTAAATTTACGTTTATTCAGTTAATTCACATATAGGTGAGACTTATCCTGAGGACGAGCGTAATCAAGGGAGACTTAGGGGCTACGACCCTTCGACATACCAGTGAGTGGGCTTTTGGTTTTCAGTATATTTATATACTTGTTATTTTCCCAGAAAATGCGTTTAAATGAAAGTATGCCTTGAATGCCATGCATATAAATTTATATTTTGTATATGAATTGAATTGTTTGCACATATACATAATTGTGGTTCTGTGGACGCTCAAGTAAGTACCAGGCGAATTATGTTTGGTTATGAGAATTAACAATTAATGGCATGTGATTGAATAACGTTGAGCTAATGTAATTGCACCTAGGGTGATGTGATTTAGCCAAATATATGGCCCAGGTCTGTTATTGATGTCACCTCCCGCACCATATACTCACATTGAATCCAATTTAGGTGCACAGTCCTGTCGTACAGACCATCATAGGTGGTTCCAACTCGTAGGTGACTAGCGATTTATCGTCCAGCTATTATGAGAGAGTAGTATTGAGCATAATTATATTACACCCAGTATTGTCGTACAGACTTTTTCATTGGTTCCGACTCGTGTGCAGTATAGTGCCGTATAGGTCATTGAAGTGACTTCGGCTAGATTGACCATTGAGCTATGAATTCAGCTATACAGACTTATGCAGGAGTTCCGGCTAATATGTTATATTTCCATGAAATTATTCTCACCTGAATTACTTACTCTGTTATATCTTGGCATTGCATACTTATGATTATGAATATGTGAAGCATGATTTGAATTGATATATTTACATATATATTTTATGCTTATGTGAATATTCTATTCTAGGAAAATTATACATGTTTTACGGCGAGGGGTTAGAATTGTTGAGAAATGAAATGGTTTTGTAAAACATTTGTTTTTACCCACTCACGTTTTCTGTTTTGCGCCCCTCTAGGTTTTAGGTAAGCTTACTGTTGCTAGGTACGAGGATTTCGGCGATTCTGACATATTAAAATAATTGTAGGACATCTTATGGTACTGTATAATTAGTACTTGTCCTATTGGACTGCACCTAGACTTTCTATGCTCTGATTTGTTACAACCACCCCCAATAATATGTATTATTTGCTATTTTACCCTAAGCTGACACGTGTCAACCATCTAACCTCATTTTCTTTTTCTCTTTTCTGTCCCCCCTGTGATCTCTCTCTTCTTCTTCTTCGTCTCTCCCTCCCGTAGCTCTCTCAACTCTCCCATATCCCTCTCCCTCAACC